CGGGGCCTGGGCTGGCGGGGGTGGGGCCTGCAGGGTGGGAGGGGCCTCGACAGCCCTGGGCCCTCGGGAAGGTGCGGTTCGCGGTTTGCACCGAGAGGGACAACTGCAGGAAGATGAGGCGGATTTGGAGCCTTGGCACAATCGCTGCGCCCGCACGCTCAGGGCCGAGGCGGCAGGTCGGGGTCCTGCCCTGGCCTCCTGCCCGGGCAGCCGCTGACGCGCCCTCCTCCCGTCCTGCTGTCCTCTTGCAGAAAGCCATCTCGTCGCCCACCGTGTCTCGGCTCACGGACACGACCAAGTTCACTGGCTCCCACAAGGAGCGCTTCGACCCGTCGGGCAGGGGCAAGGGGAAGGCCGGCCGCGTGGACCTGGTGGATGAGTCGGGCTACGTGCCCGGCTACAAGCACGCGGGCACCTACGATCAGAAGGTGCAGGGGGGCAAGTAGCACCGCGGCGGCGCCGAGCTCCGCGACGCTGCAGGGGTCCTTGCCTCCCATCCCACTTCATTACATTCCTGTGCTCACTCGGGCAGGACTCAGACAGGTGCCTTTAGTAGGGCCGAGGCCCAGGTGGCTGTGGGCAGGACGCCTGGGCCTCCCTCCTGCCCAGGGCACCCTGACACTCTTTCTCAGGCCCTGAGTTTGGGCTCCGAATCACTGACCCTTTCTAACACACCTGCCTCGTCCTAAGCTGGAAGTGGACGGCTGTTTCCAAGTGTCTCTGGGGATCGACCACACTGGCTGCCTGGTTTGCAAGTGAAAGGCGCGTTTTAAAGGAACTGGTGGGTGTGGGGACAAGCGGGATGGATCCTGTCAGAGGCCACACTGACCTCCTAACTGGCAGACACCTTCCAGAAGCTTTGAGGGCAACAGGAGCTAATGCACTAACCAACAACACAAATAAAACGGCATTAACCCTGAGCAGGACTTGGGCAGTGTCTGTGAGGGCCCCCAGGCCTGTCCTGCACACAGTAGACACCACGGGGTCACCTGTGCCGTGCTGGGCACCCAGCACTGTGCAGGTGCGGGGAGGCAGGTCACACAAGCACACGCTTGCACACGCTCATGCCTGCATGCACCCACATGCACACACATGCCCACACCCACCTACAGACCAGGTCTGTGCTAAGGGGGGTTGTGATAAAAGGAAGGCTGAGGGGACAACAGAAAGCTGCTCAGTTGACCAGAAGGGTGACTTGTGGAGTGTGAGTTAGGAGGTTTTTAGTTTGCTTTCCTCCTAAGAAGAAAAAACGGCTATTTCCTGAGTGGGTCCAGGAAGATTCGGAATGTCGTATTTCCATGAATTACTCCCCACCCGTCCCTGTCTCCAGGGTGGGAGATGACAGATTCTGACATGAGCAGTGGCTCCACCTGCGTGTGGTGGGGGCCTTCTGCCTGGGCATCTCCCGCTTGCTGGTTCACGCTGGCCGCGCCCTGCTCTGCTCAGACTTCCTATCACTCGCGCCTGTGCGGTGCCTTCCACTCCCTCCCTGAAGCCTCTGTCATAAATGGCTTTCCCTACCCTCTCCTGATCCCTTGGAGTGCAGGACAAAAAACACCATGAACAGACCTAAGGAAGACCCCCCACACTGAGTCCTGCATAGTGTGCTGGGGACAGCTGAGTGTACGGGTGTCAGCAGACAGCCTGCCCAGGACCCTGCGAGGGTCATCCACGCTGCGAGGCGCAGCAGGACCACCTGTCCTCACATGACTGTTGGCACCCGCGTGAGAACCGGGTGCTCCTGCTGCATCCCAGGGAGGCCCATCAGCGTGGGCACCCGCTGTCACAGTGATCCATGGAAACCTGTCCCTTTGCGTGAGAGCAGCCATAGCCTTGCATGTGACCTGCTGTGCCGTGTGTTCTGGAGTTCGTCTTGGGAAGAGCCCACGGCAGCTTCAAGGAAGTGCCTCCCAAGATCCTGTTTGTTCCTGGCCACAGCCTGACTGTCCAGGGCAGGTGGCACAGGTGGACAGCGAGGCCCCCTCCCTCGCTGCCATGGCATGCCAACATGCCTCCTGTCTCCCCTGAGCCCAGAAAGTGCACCCAGTCATGGCCGCAGCCCCATGGAAGGCCAGCTGCCCGCCTGAGCACAGCAGGAGCCCCAGGGCCAGAGCTCCCAGCGACATGGTCCTCTGAGGGCTGGGGGTCTCAAGCAGGCCCCTCAACAGGGAGGCCTCAACTCAAGGATGGTGCTGGCCCGGCAAGCAGCTTCTCTCTGAGGTTCTGGGAGTTCATGGTACCTGGCATTAAAGACTGAGAAATATTGGATCTCAGGCTTTGAGACTCCCTTTTAGGACGTCATTTCGCTGGGCTGGGGAAAGGCAGTCGGGATGTCTGACCCCAGTCCTGGGCTTTTCACCTCCCCCAGGCTGGAGTTTTGTGTGAAACCTAAAGGCAAAGGTAGCATGTGAGAAACATTTGAAAACAATTATAAACATGCAAAGTGTTTAATCTGATCACAGCCCGAAAGCCCTTGTGTTCAAAATGCCAAATGAGTTTTGTTTGTGGTCACTAAACAGGGCTCCGCCCCAGGTCCAGAAGCCAGAAACCTGGAAGGATTCCCCCACACACAGCCTCCCGGGGTTCCTGCCTTCTCTGGCAGCCCTGGTCTCAGCGAGGTACTGCCGTGGGCTGCCCATCTCTGGTCTGAGGCTGCTTTTCTCCTTTTCTTCTGCCCGTGAACCACGCAGTCTCCATCATCACAGCCGAGCTGCACAGAATGGATGAGTCTGGCAGGACCTCAGCTGCTAGAGCCGAACGCACCCAGTCAGTGCAGAAGGCAGCGAGTGTCCGGACGCTCCCACGCCGCGCATCAGCAGTGGATGCTCCCCTAGGCCCCACGGTCCTCTGCAGGGATGCAGGACACTGAAGAGAGCAGTAACCAATCATCAGGACATTGTCTCCTGTTCAGTGAGTTGTCCTGAACCATCTCCAAACCAAGTCCTGGGCCAGCCTGCCCCAGAAGTACACTAGGAAATTGGATCTACTCAGAAGAGACAACACAAGTGCCCGTCCTCAGGGGACCACCTAACCTCCTAGGGAGGAGGCACCTGTCACAGACGGTCACCTCAGCCACATGGCCAGCATCTTCCTCACAGCAGTTCCTCCCCAGAACTGAATGCAGCAGCCCAGAGCAGCAGGCCCGGGCCTGTGGAGTGCCAGCACCACCCATCTCAGGCCCCCAGAGGTGAGCTCCTTGACAAGAAATGATCCTTTCACTTCAAATCTTTGGGTTTTGTGAATAAAAATCGAGGGCAGTCACCCCGCCTTGTTGGCCCTTCCCGTCCTAGACTGGAGTGACCTTGGGCTCCTGCAGGGAGAACCCCACGCCCCAGACTCTCCCTCCACACGGCTCCCAGGGGTGGTGCCTGGCCCACGGTATCACGGCAGATAAGCAGTTCTCATTGTGTCCCTGCCCATCCCGACCGGTCCCCAGTTTTCCGCAGACACACACGGGCCAGGACAGTATCCTCCTCTAGTCAGATTCAAAGTGTAGCTTTGAAAACAACCCTCCCCTCCCATCCATGACACCTAGCAAGAAAGGGGTAGTAAAAATTAAGTCACAAGGACTTCGTGGTAACCATTCTATCAGTTCAAAATCGGTGAACTCATCATTGCATCTGTGTGTAGCCTTTGAACACAGAACATCTGCTTGGACTCCAACTGTACTGAACAAAACATACACACGCATTTGCCTCAGTTTCTGAATATTGTAAAAGCACAGGCAATGAGTTTGTCTTTGTTGCATGTTTTTATTCCATGCCAGTTAGCTTCTACTAACAGTGGTTAAATAGAAATTAAATTGTCTATCTGTGAATAAAAGAAACTGCACAGCATGCAACCCAGGACACGAGACACATTCTGTTGGGGCAGGGCCCCCGGGAGACAGGGGCACCCAGGAGACAGGCACAGGTTCTGTCAGGAGTTGACACCCAGGAGATAAGCATAGGTTCTGTCAGGGGAAGACACCCAGGAGACAGGCACAGGTTCTGTCAGGGAGGACAGTGCTGATGGTACCTAAGCATCAGGAGAGAAGGGTAGAAGAAGTGTTTGAGATCATTGCTCGAGATCACAATACTTATTTATTTCTATTTAATGCTTTAGGATAAGCAACTAGGTAGAGGTCAATAACAGCTTTAAAGTTCAAATTATATGTTTAAAGTATTATAGCAAAAGACATATATTTTTATTAGACTATTTTACACCTTTTAATATCCCCAGTCTTAAATTTAGGGGCAGATAAGTATTACAGCAGATGCCAGTATTTGAGAAAAGATACACGTAGGAGTTCGCTTGCATAGTTCCCTTTCACCTCCCCACCTCTGCGTGCCAGTGGCTGACACATCAGGGCAGGCCACGGGCAGCCCAGGATATGGGCTCACTCCCTCCCTCCCCACAGCTCTGGGCTGCTACAGCCACCTGTTTTTGCGGATAAAGTTTTACTGGCACATGGCCACACCGTTTACATATTGTCTGTAACTGCTTTTGCACAAAAACTGGAGTGGGAGGAGTTGAGACAGGGACGCCATGGCCCTCAACACCTAAAATATTTACAATTTATCCCTTTATGGAAAAGTCCTGCTCATTTCCTCCTGCAGGTGACTGTACACGTCCTGTAGCACATGCCACATGGGAACACCTGGTTGTCACCTGTTTAATACAGCACAGGTTGACAATTCAACTGTACTGTGAAGTTATCCATAGGCTAGAATGTCCTTCAGACACTGAACCTGAATATCCTTCTCCACTGACTTACTCCTGACCACTGTGTGAACTCTGGTGGGTCAGGGATGTAGCCTTTGTCCACAGATGTGTGGTGGGGAGTCATGACAGGCACTTTGAGATGCTTCAGTTAAGTCTCTTCCTTTACACCTCTTAAAAAACTAAACCAAGCCAAACAATAAAGGAAACCTGCACAACTTAAAAGAAACTTGAAAGGGATAAAATACTACTAGTTTGTACTAAGTTTTTTTCAAGAAAGGGAAACAAATTTATATATATATATATATATATATGCAATATATTTTTACACTGTTTTATTAATGTCAGGGGGTATTGAGCGTATCACTTTACTAGCGCAATAGGTAATGTCAATGTCATGGGTGTTCCAACTCAGAGAGGCACTTCTGCTGATGTCTAAACCACACTCACCAGGAACGTCCGTGGGGTCAGGGAGGCCCTGCTGCCCCTCCCAAGAGCGCGGTGTCACCTGCTGGACTTGCTATCAAAGCCTAGCTTGCAAACCTTCAGAGAAAGAGCTCGTGTCTGCATATCGCTCCTTGTGTATTTCATGTTGTTAACATTGTGTGTCAAGTTGGTAAAATGATGAATAAAGATGTTAAAATGTGGACTTCTCTGTTTCCTCAAAGTGTGTGCTGTCTGTACTGGCAGTCACACCCTCTGGCCAGCTGGGCCTTGGCCCTCACGGGCACTCACATATAGCACGGTACACATCCTGGGAGGGCTGCAGGAGGGAGTGAGTGGGGCGCCTCCTCTCAGCTGGGGCTCACAGGGCCGAGGGCCTCATGTCACCTTCACTCAAGGGAGCGTTTCGTTCCCTTGCTTGGACAAGACGACCGTTGACCTGACCTTGGGAGGAGCAGGTGGGCCAGCCATCTGTCAGGTTCAAGGTCTGGTCTAGCTCTGGTGCAGCTCTAGGGTGGGGTCTAGATTCAAGGGGACTGGACATAAATTGCACTTTAAACAACCAAGCAGCCCCAAAGACAGGAATGATGTCATCAACAGGCAGCCATAAAATAAATGCCAACCTGAAATGCTAACCCAGGTGAAATAGTTTTCCAAAATGAGGATAAAATAAAGGAATTTTTAGACAACAGAGAATTTGCCAGCAGCAGACATTAAAAAAATTTCTAAATGCAGAAAGAAAGTGACCACAAATGGAAGGTCTAGGACATGAAGAATGAAAGTGAAGCAGAGAAGAAATATGTAAGTAACTCCAAATTAATACTGACTATGAAGTACTTTCTGTGAAATTAAAAACAAAATACTTGGAAACTATCACATGTAAGTCAGAAGGGGAGCACGGGGAATTAAATGTTTACAGCCCTTGTATAATTTCAGAGGTGGTTAGAAGTACTTACTAAATAAACATACGCATTGTAATAAAAGAACAGAAACAAGAGTACGTACCTTCCTTCCAAATTAGTAGAGGTGAAAATGTTAAGCGATAAAAGATAACCTAAAATCAGCAGTAGTGGAGAGGGGAAAATCATGGCATAGAACAAACAGCACAAGATGAGACAGCAGCTTTAAACCAAACGTGTATTGATTACACTGGTAGATAAAGCAAGAGAGAAAAACGCAGAACAAGAAAATTGATAAAATAACATTTTTTAACCCAAATATGTTAGTAATTTCAGCATGGCTAAAAATATAAAGAAGGTTGGCCTGTGGCTCACTCGGGAGAGTGCAGTGCTGATAACACCAAGACCACGGGTTCGGATCCCTGTGTATGGATGGCAGAGCGTGGTGCTGACAACACCAAGCCAAGGGTTAAGATCCCCTTACCAGTCATCTTTAAAAAAAATAAAAATAAAAAATAAAAAACAAAAATATAAAGGGCAGAAATTGAAATGAAAAGGAAATGGAGACTAAGGTTGGTTTTTAAAAAGGACTGGTAGGGCTGGCCCGGTGGCGCACTCGGTAGAGTGTGGCACTTGGGAGTGTGGCGGCGCTCCCGCTGAGGATTCGGATCCCATGTAGAGACAGGTCCGCTCACTGGCTGAGCGCGGTGCGGGCGCGACACCGAGGGTTGCGATCCCATTGCTGGTCGCGGTACGGGCGCAACACTGAGGGTTGCGATCCCATTACCGGTCACGAAAAAAAGACAAAAAGGAAAAAAATAAAAAATAAAAATAAAAATGACTGGTAAACTTGGCAAATTTTGGTGAAATTGACCAATAAAGAGGGAAAGTCCAAGCCACCAATATTAAGAAAGACAATGGGGAATGAGAACAGGGTCCCTGGGAAACAGATGCTCAGGTGGAGTTAGTATTTCAAGTAATGCTCATGAACAATAAAGGGGAGGCAGCAAGATGGCAGAGAAGACTTCAGACCACAATGCAGATCTGACAAAGTTTCGGCCAGCCCTACGGGATGCTCTGGAGATCACCCATTAGAGGGAGGCCAGGCCCCTGATGCGCTGCATGCTGGACACTGGCCTGGGATGAGTGTGTCCTCATCTTGAAAGCTGAGGCAGAACTTAATGGCAGGAGCAGCTGGAGGTCTCCTCACCTGCACTCCTTGCCCCTGGACAGCAAGGTCTTGCTGGATCAGATGCAACTGTCCCTACCTCTCTGCCACAGGGAAACAATTTCAAATGCTGAAGCCATTAAAATGTCATTAAAAGATTATAAGTGTAATGCCAAAAAATTTGAAAATGAAGACAATACAGACCAATTCCTAGAGATATGTAACTTACAAAAACTAACTCCAGGAGAAACAGAAAGCCTGCATAGTCCTATAGCTTACGGTAAGTAATTGCCAATTATAATAGAAAACTCCCAAAGCTTCGGTGGCTGGACACACAAAACTGACTTTCCACTCACACAGAGTCCACCTGGGATCAACAAGGGATCTCATCCAACAGAAGAGAAACAAGCTTTCTGATCTTGTGATGTGAGGCTACCAAGTCACCAAGGAAGGGAAATCGTCAAAGGGGCCCACCAGCTCTCCTTTGCCCTGGGCCTTAGGTGACATACCTCAGTTCTACTCAAAGACTGTTGCTCAGAATTAGTCACACGACCCCAAACCAACCCAAGGGGCTGGTAAATGTAGAGGGCCATAAGTATAGTCTGTGAGAACAGGCTCTGCCACATCCTGTAATGATTAATTAAATTGAATCAGTAGTCAATAATCTCCCCACAAAGAGAGTTCTAGGTACATATGACTTCACCAGCAAGTTCCAGCAAACATTCAGGGAAGAAATAATTACAATCTTAAATCAATTCCCCTAGAGCATCAAGGACTGCACAGTCCGATCCATTTAATGATAGTGTAATGACGCAAATCCTGGCAAGAACTGGATTAGAAGGGAAAATCAGTCAGTACCACCCATGAAGAAAGACACTAATTATTACTACAGCAGGTGATTCCAAAGTGCTTCCTAGGTGTCTAGGACTTACTGTCCTAGAATTTTATTTATAATAACTCATTTAATCTTCACAACAACCCTATGAGGCAAGCGCTATTACTCCATCTTATAAACGAGGAAATCAGGGCCCAGAGAATTGAAGTAATTGCCCAAAGTTACACAGTAAGTGGTACAGCTAGAATAAAAAATTCTAAAATTTTTTTTTTTTACTTTTTTACTGAAACATATTTATTATACATATTTGTGGGGTACAGAGTTGACTATCGGTATGCATGTACAATATGTGATGATCAAATCAGGATAGTTGGCATATTCTTCATTACAAAATGTAAAATGCAGTTGTTTTTTTGTTTTGTTTTTTTGCAACAAAACGAGTCAATACATTTAAAAAGACTAAGATCAAGAAAATATGTTCTCTGACCACAGTCACAGAAGGAAATTTAGAAAATTCACAAATGTGGTGGTGAACTCCTGTAGCTTTTGTTTGTCTGGAAAGTACACTATTTTCCCCTCATTTCTGAATGATAGCCTCGCTGGGTATAGTATTTTTGGCTGGCAGGTTTTTTTCTTTTAGTATTTTTAATATATCATCCCATTTTCTTCTGGCCTGTAGAGTTTCTGTTGAGAAGTCTGCTGTTAGTCTGATGGGGACTCCCTTATAGGTGACTTGACCCTTTTGCTTCTTTTAAGATCCTCTCTTTGTCTCTGAGTTCTGCCAGTTTGACTATAATGTATCTTGGAGAGGACATTTTTGGATTGAATCCGTTTGGGAATCTTCAAAGGTCTATGTCTCTCCCTATACCTGGGAAGTTTTCCATTATAATTTAGTTGAATAGGTTTTCCATGCCTTTTCCTTTCTCCTCCTCTTCTGGAACACCCATGATTTGAATGTTTGTGCACAAGAGGTTGTCTGCCAGCTCTCTTAGATTTTCGTATTTCTAGCATCTCTTTGCTGATGTCAGGTCACATGGTAGAGCACTTGCTTCTTCTATTACTCTGGATGGGCTTTGAGGAGAGAGAGATGTCCTCTTCTTTTTCTGGTCTTTGCTGGTGACTCTTCTTGTGTCAATGCAGTCAAGTCTCTGGTGGGCCGCCTGCACAGTGGCTATGGCTACTGCTGTGGCATCAAGCTGCTTTTGTGGCAACCATACCTTTGGCGGTGGCTGTGGTGAGCCACCCACATGGAAGTGGTGTTTTCGGCATTGCTCTCTTGCCTGCTTCCACATGGGGAATGCTGCCGTCAGTGCCTGTCTAGGACCCCGGGTGTGCTCTCTTGCCTGCTTCCAGGCAGAAGGGCTGGCTGCCCTCAGCTCCTGCCTAGAACCCCAGGCGCTGCTCTCTTACCTGCTTCCAGGTAGAGGGGTCAGGCTCCCTAAACAAAATACTAATAAACCAAATACAACAATATGTATGGAAATAAATATCCATCACTAAGTTGTGTTTATCCCAGAAATTCAAGGTTCTTTTTATAATAGCAAATTATGGTAATTAATCACATTAATAGATGAAAAGAGAAAAATCATAGTCATCTCAATAGTTGCAGAAATGTCTGATAAAATTCACCCATTAGTGATGAAAAATTCTTAGCAAATTAACAATAAATGGGGCCTCTTTAACCTGGTAAAGGCAATCTGCAAAAATCCTACTGCAAACGTAGTGGTGAGATGGTGAGAGCACTCTTTTAATATCAGGAACAAGGTGAAGACGCCCTGCTCTATCACCATTTTCAATTAATATCATACAGAGATTCAAATTAGCACAGAAAAGGAAAAGCAAAACAAAGCAAAAATATAAAGTAAAAATCCAGAGTAAAAAGAATGGAAAAGAAAACATTATGCACAGAAAACATGACCGTGTGCCTAGAAATGCTAAAATAGGTGCGGGTAAATTACTAAAACTACAATAATGCTGGACATAAACATAATAAATGAAAATTGACTGAGTTTCCATATTATAGCAACAAATAATTAGAAAAATGAAATCCAAACAAATTTTTAAGAACAGCATCACAAAATAAGAAGATCCTTAGGGGCCGAGCCCGTGGCGCACTCAGGAGAGTGCGGGGCTGGGAGCGCAGCAGCGCTCCCGCCACGGGTTTGGATCCTATATAGGGATGACCGGTGCGCTCACAGCACTCACTGGCTGAGCGTGGTGTGGCCGGTCTCAAAAAAAGGACAAAAGAAAAAAAAAAAAACAAAAGATCCTTGGAATAAATAAACATAACAGAAGTTATACAAGACCTCTATGGAGAAAGTATAAAGTTGTATTTATATACATTAAAGGAGACCTAATAAACAAGAGAGAGGTGCCATATTCATGGTTTGTAAGACCCAATATTATAGATATTTCAATGCTAGATTCAATGCGATCCCAACTTAACCAGCTAGTTCTAAAACTTGTGAAATGCAAAGGGTAAAAAATAGCCAAGACATCGTGAACACACAATGGGAGGATCTGTGTGAGGCTATGGTGCTGCACAGCAATGGACAAGGAGACCAGTGGGAAGGAGCAGACACCCAGAAAGACACGTAGCACTTACGACAAGGGCGTCCTTCCAGTGAATGGGGTTGGACACCTGGACTTATCTATGGAAAACAGTAAAACTGGATCTTTAATCAATTACAAGTAGAATACATATACAGAATCCAAAATAGACAAAACTATAAGATCTTTTGGAAGAGAACACACCAGAGTATCTTCATGGCCATGAAAAGGAAAAGATTTTTTTTTTCCTCCTGTGACCAGGAAAAGATTTTTTTAAATTAGGATTCAAAATGCTTTAATCATAAAAAAAGATTGATACCTAGAACATATCAAAGTTTAAAATTTCCCTTAACCAAAAGATGCCATTAAAAAGTGAAAAGACAACAAAAAGCTATTTGCAGATGTGACCCACAAAGCACTACTACTCTCAATTATAAATAATTCCTGCAAATAAATAAGAGTCGGACTATCCAATAGAAAAATTGGGAAAAGATGTCAACAGGCACTTTACAAAAAGGAAACCCAAATGATCAATAAACATGAGAAAAGGTGCTAACTTGGGAGAGACAATCTAAAACCACTGAAAGCATGCTATGTGCCCTCTAGAATGAAAACATGAAAAACTCTGACAATAATGCTGAAGACATGGGCCAACAGACATCAGCACACCCGACTAGTGCTAGTGTGAGCTGGTATCACTCACTTTGGAAAACAGTTTGGAATTATCTAGTAAAGCTATGTTAAGTATATGGTAAAGGTTAAAGGACATAAACATAATGGGAAATAAAACCCTCATAAAAAAGAACCAAATAGAATTTTAGAACTAAAAATATATCTAATTTCTGATATTAAAAATTTGCACTACAGGCTTACCATCAGAATAGGCATTCAAAGGAAAAGATCCGTAAACTCTGCAACAAGGCAAGAGACAATTCAACGTGATCAAAGTATGACAAACACAAGTCGAGTTTAGTGACCTGGGGAGGATAGTGTGGAGGCCTAGGAGGAGTGGGGGAGAAGGAACGAGAAAGAGAGTGGATCAGATAAGAAATCTGAAGAAATAGTGGCTGAAACTTTTCCAAATTTAATGAAAAACATAAACTCACAGGTTCAGGAAGTTCAGTGAAACCTAAACAAGATAAACATGAAGAAACAGTATGGTGAACATTTCCTACAAGCTTAAAATGGCTTAATATTAAAATCATTTAATTATTTTAAATAAATAAATGATCTGATGATAAAAGAACCCCACACCCCCACCATGCCAAAAATAGATTTGGTATGACACATTTTCCTGCTACGTTACAAAAACTGTCTGGCACAACCATAACCAGACAGAAGTGACAGAAAAGGCAACCTGAAGCCCAGTGATTCCTCTGATGAAGGAGAGAGAGCTGAGTCCCATCTCTGATTTCCTCAGTGATATTATCCTAACACACGCATGTGCGCACACACGCGCGCACACACATGATGAAGGAGAGAGAGCTGAGTCCCATCTCTGATTTCCTCAGTGATATTATCCTAACACACACATGCATGTGCGCACACACGCGCGCACACACACACACACAGCTAGTACACAGCATTTTCTTCTTAGGCTTGCTCACTCTTCCTAAATCAATTAAATATTTATTTAGAAAATCATCTTGTTTTACCAATTAAAGCAAGTATTATATAAGATATGAAGTTTCTAAACTAAGAAATCTAGTTTTATGTCTTACTATGACATAATTTTCAGAAATATACTGCAAACAAGTGAGAGGCACGGCTTGGGTAGACATTTTCACTGTGATTTGATAATATCATAAAACACTATTTTTAAATGTTTCCCACATGTGCAAGTACTATATTTATTAAGTCTTGGAACTTCTTTTATTCCTGCTCACCTACCATAGTGTGTAGCTTGTTTTGTAAAAGAATTCAATGAGAAACTCAGTTATAAAGAGCCATCTAAAAAGTTAACTTTTCACAATACATTAGTTCATCAAATAAAGACTGCTTGTTACATGAAAAATTATTTTCTTTATCATACATAGAGCTCTCTTTCACAGTAGGCAGAAAAACACTGCATTTACTTCATCTCAGGATATTTGATGAAAAAGTAATTGTCTATTTATCTCAAAATATGTGAATGTGTTCTATCTCAAAACTTGCAAAGGGCTTAGATTAATCCTATCATTTTAGGATGTTTTAGAAAACTCAGCTATGAGCCCTGAATACATCTCACACATCATAATTACAAACAGAAGAGATAACTCTCACCAGCAGATACACAGATAAAGAAACACAAAGGTGCAAATGGCTTCTTGGCAGGAGTCAACAGGCCTGAGGGCCACCGCAGCTGGTGCTGCAGTGCGGAAACAGGGCCACAGTCTTCTTGAGCTCCCGGTAGCTCCAGTGCATCTGCTCCACCTCAGCCCTGTGCAGTGCCCGTGCTTGGCTCAGCTCCTGCAGGAGGTGCTCATTGGTGCTGACCAGGGAGCTGGAGAACAACAGGGAAGTGGCTACTCGACTCTCCCCAACACATGGCTCTGCCCATCTCCCAGCCACCCTGACCCCACAGTTGGGCCAGGGTCTTCCCACCACCTAGCGATGCGCAGGTTCACTACCTGTCCCTCGGCCCCAGCTGCGCCACACGCAGGCCCGCTCAGCACCGTGGAGTGAGCAGTGCTCCAAGCGGGCAGGGGAGTGGGTACACCACCCTCGGCATCCAGCAGAGCACTGTCTCAAGAAGACAATGGCAAGCTCATGGCCAGCCCAACAATGACCTAATTCTAGATAAGACCCACAGACGAACACATTCTAATTCCCAGTCAAATACAATAATAACTCTGACATAGTAACAGTGCAATAAAAAAGTCCTGACTTTTAATACTATTAGCCATTTTTATTTTAAAAGAGATTTTTAGAAAAAAAGTATCATTGCATTTTACCTACTTTGTCATCCCCAAACTGCCGCACTCCACCAGTCCACAATGACTCAGGGCATGTGGGGCATCACAAATATTAGACAAAGCAAGTTCACTGTGCAATTGCTGGCCCTGTTTGCATGGACCACTGAAATAGCCGCTGGTCGGTGGGGGCTCAGACTGGACAGAGTTGTCCTGAACCCCAGGGACAAGAGATTGTCAACTCCACTGTGTGTTAAGACCACAGTGCACAGCCCAGAGTCACTTCCCTGCACCCATGTGTCCCCTCTGCTCTTCCCATCTAGTCTCAGCTCAAACTCATCTGTCAGGAGCCCCTTCCCCTCTGTACTATAAGCCCGTGATGTGCCCATGGGGTCTGTTGCCTTTAATCCCTCAAGGGTCAGAGCCTGGCTGCGCCTATGAGCAGACAGCACCCAAGCCTGGCGGAAGACATAGTAGCCTTGGCCTGAGGAAAGTGATGGGGGAGGGAAGTGAGGGGGCAGGGAAGAGGCGGTGAGAGCATGACTGTGGCAGCCTTCCCTTCTTGGCCCACAGGCCCAGGGCTCACACAGCCGCATCCGCAAAGCCCAGGGTGCCCATGCTCCCTTGTCCTCCCTCTTCCGGCCACTGGTCACCTTCCCCAAGGCTGAACTCCTCTGTGCACACAGCCTCCATTCACTTCCCAACACATGATTCTTTAAACAGAAGCTGAGGCTCTGCCTTGATAATCCCACACTCCCAGTCACGTCCTCACGCCCCCTGCACAGCCAGGGAATAAAGGTAAAATCTCACATTTCTACGTGACCAGACATGAATGGTGGTGAGGGGAGAGTACAGGCTGCAGGAGCCACATGGCCCATGCCCCTCACAGAATGCTGCAGCAGGAAGGATCTTACTTTCACTGAGAGGGAAGCTCAAGGAAGCTCCATTTCAACAGGATGACACATGTGGGTGCTGGAGACTCACCCCCAGCTGCTCCTCTGTGGCCCCCCCAGCCCTCAGCCCTCCCATGGGCTCCCAAAAGGCACCTGTGGCTCTCCTGCAGCATCTGGGTGAGGTCTTGGATCTTGTCGTAGTGTTCCAGGTGCTGTTTTAACTCCACAATCTCTCCAGACAGCCTCTTCACACTTGTTTGAAGTCCTGAAAGAGGAAAAAATGTGGCATTATTTAATGAAACTCATTCTAGACTTAAACTGGATCTGGGTGATGATAAAAAGAATATAGCTTAGGAAAGATCAGTTTTCAAAAAAGACTCAAAGACAGCGGTGAATGGGAAAGTCAAGGCCTGATGGAGTTTGGGTGTGTCGTCTCCTCCAAAACTCATGTGGAAATCTGATCTCCAATGTGGCAGTGTTGGAAACTGATTGAGTCATGGGGGCGGATCCCTCATGAATGGATTAATGCTCTCCCTGGGGGAGGGGGGATTAATGAATGAGTTCTCACTCTATTAGTTCCCACGAGAGCTCGTTGCTTAAAAAGACCCTGGCACCTTCTCTCTCTCTCTTGCTTCCTCTCACTATGTGATCTGCTTGTACCTGCCGGCTGCTGTCACTTTCCACCATGAGTAGAAGCAGCCTGAGGCCCATGCCAGATGCAGCTGTCCCAGAATTGTAAGCCAGATAAACCTCTTTTCCTTATAAATTACCCAGTCTCAGGTATTTCTGTTATAACACAACAGACTAAAACAAGGCCCCAGTCTACATGCCCAATTGCTTCTACCAGGGCCCCCTTCTGGCTCCCAACTCTGGGGTTGGAGTCAGGGGTCTGCCCTCCAGACACTCCCAGGAGCCCCATCCCTGTGTGGAAGGAAGGCAGAGCAGTGACAGGGCAGGATGGCATGGCTACAGGCTCCTTCTGGGGACCTGCATGCCTTTGGGGCTTCTCCTCTACCAGGAAGAACATTCTGTCCAGAGGGGTAGGCCTGTGGCTTTGGGAAGAAGCGCTGAGAAGCCTGCGGCGGCCCACATCTAGTCCTGCACTGGTCAGTAGCAGAGCACGCAGATGGGTTCCAACTTGAAAGGGGAAGAAACATAGTACTTACCGGCTCCCCAAATCCAAAAATGGGATACAAATAAACCCATATTCAGACACACGGTTGCAAAACCGTTCAGTACCAGAGACAATGAGAAAGCCAGAATGGGAAGGTGACAGGCGAAGGGCTGACAACAGTACTGACAGCAGACACTTCTTACCAGCAAGCCAGCAGCAGTGGAAGGCATCCCCAGGTGTCAAGACGGATCCCATTTATACACATTCCTCCTCAAGCACATGGTGAGAGGAATTTTGGGAAAGGGGCAATGGCGGCATGGTTTTGGGATCCCCCAGAATCCCCACCTTAGTCAAAACACCAGGAGTAACTAGAAGGCAGAAACAAACCCCATGAACATCACAGCACCCCAGTGACCTGAAGCCTCGAGAATCCAGACACAAGGGGTGGGGCACACCCCCAGCACCCACAAGTCGTGCCTGGTATCCAAATCTGTGACGCTGAAGCAGCAGTCAGCAGGGGGCAGCTGACAGATCCAAGGATGGGAGAGCCTCCTAGTGTCTTGTTTTCCTGGGAAACCCCAGTGGGCCAACGAGGAAAGCATGCTGACACAGGAAGCTCCATCCTTCCAGTGAGGGTGATGCCAGGGTGTCCCTGCAGTCTGGAGGGGCTGGAGCAGAGTCAGGGTCAACAGGAACAGGATATCAGAGAGAAGTGTGGGGGAGGGGACAGGGCCTGGAAATCTGCAAAAGGAGGCAGGCTTATTTTTCATCTGTGAGGTCAGAAAAGCTACCCTGACCTTGCCACCTAGAAATTCAGGAGAACAAATTTCACAAAAAAAGGAACAACAGAGACGGTGATCCCACAGTTGCTGTAAGAGCAAAGGCAAGAGCATGACAGCATCCCACAGACACCAATGGCCGTGCTGACAGATCTGAGCCCCGACCCACTGTTCTCAAACCAGCTGAAGACAAAAAGGACATGACACAGGTAGTCAAAGAGCAACCTAAGTCAGAACCAAAAATGCCAGAAAGGAGGTGACTAAACTCGGGAAAGAATTTTGTGGAATATTCACAAAGCAAATGTACTTCACAGGGCCTGGTTTTGCAAAGCCTTGCAGTTTCAAATATTGACCTTGTGGAGGACTGGAAATTTTCCTCAGGCTATAAAGTCTCCGGTGTAAGATAAAGATTTGTGGCACACCAAGGTTGCTGGGTCAAGGACAGACTCGTTACTGATTGTTATGTAAAGATACTGGAAAATTGCTAGAAGAGAAGGAATGTTTGCTGAGATCAAGTTTTTGTTAGTGGATCACTTAATTGCCTAAAGGAATGTCATCTGACTTGTTTCACTGAAAGTTACCAGCCTATACTGTTAAACTATAACCCCACCTATGTCTCTTCCTGTAACTCCCTGGTCTGGAGAATAAATGCTGGAAGAGAACCCCAATTCGGGGTTAATTTCCCGAGGAAGGGATGCCTCTCGCTTGAGCATTTCCAAGGGAAGTTAACCGCTTCAGGGCCTCTCACTGCTCAGAAGAGATGGGCTTTGAGTAATCCTTTGTGTCTCTGTCACCCAGGGGAAGTGGGATGACAAATCCGTGGGGGGTGAAGCAACAAAGCAACAGAATTTGCAATAGGAGAAAAACTTCACACTAGACGTGAGGGCTAAGCCAGAAGGAACCCCAGAGCAAGTAAGGACAGACCGTCCCGACTTAGTTTTTCAACTTTATGATGGTGTGAAGGTGATAAGAATTAAGTGGGAAACTTTCTTTAATAAGAAAAAAAAAAGAATAAAGAACTCAACACTCAATAAAACAACCCAATAAAAACTAATGTGCAAACTCTGAGTAGACACATCCCCAAAGACAGACTTGGTCAAATGCCGCTGCCGTGGCTGTCTTTGCCTTGCCAAGGCCATGGTTAGTTGGGACAGAGGCATAAGGCCACGAGCCCTGGAATGCTCACTACCTGGCTCTAAGAAGAAGTCCTCAGACCTGAGAGGTAAGGACAGGAAAAGATGCTTGACCTGCCAGCACCCTGTGAGATGCAGTGAAAGCCTCCCAGAGACTCCACTTCACACCCAGGGATGGTCACATGGGAAACAACACACTGCCAATACTGCCTTATTCAAAACTCAGGCATCTGAACTTGAAACACCCAATATAGTGTACAAATGGCAAAACAGAACGAAAGAAAGTGTGGAGAGGAAAATGAAAATTATCTGGATTTGGAAGAGACAGCAACCAAAGAGAACACATCACAGACACCTTTTTGGAACTAGAAGTCTGCAAGCCTGCAAGAGGCAGGGCCGACAGGCTCGCTCACCAAACTCCAGAACACCATAACTATGGTCAAAGAAAGCCCTGAGTGGTAAACCCACCAGTGACCAGGACAGATGAGGACAGAGGTGCCTCTCTCCCAGGCTTCCTTGGGATAGGCGTGTGTTCCACAAACATGAGCCTAGACGACCTGCATAACCACCAAGGACAGAGGGGATTGGATCCCACCTAGAAGGAGTACTTGCTGGTTCTGACTTCTGTTGGTAATTATTTAAAACGAAGTCCACCCATGCACATTTGAACACTCAAATTTCACTAAGTAATGTGATAAAATAAACCATAAACTCACCAGAGATCTGCAAATTCAGCGTAGCTGAAGTATCTGCATTTTTTACTTCTTTTTCCATGCTGAATAAAAGGGATTTCAAGCTACTATTCTCCTCCAAAGACTTGTCTAAATGGTGTCTCAAGTCATCCTAAGGACACAGAAAATAAACCTAAAATACACAAATCAAATTCAGTAAAATGCACAGAAAATGAAAGGAAACCTCTGGATGACCACCACAGATGTTATTTTCCTTCCACATATTATAATTTTGAATCACAAAGTGAAAAGCAGTAACAGCGTTTCACAGAACACCTCCCCACCTGAGCATGGCAGTGACCCTCAGGGGAAGGGAAGGGGCCTGGCTCCCTGAGACCTTCCACATTTCTGCGTCTTCCCCATGAAGGGCGTGCTCCAGCAGGAGCCACAGGCCAACGCAGGGAACAGCAGCAGTGGTGGGTGGCCAAGCTCTGTCTCCTCCAGGAAGCCCATGGTCACGTGGCTGGCAGCCTCCCTGTGGGAATCCCCTTCTGTGCCGGCTCCTCCATCTGCAAGCATGCAAGAATCACACAAGCCACCCCCATCACAGGTGGTAACCACGGTGGGTTCTTTCTATCCTCAAAGTATGAGGAAAACACCATGCGCAATGGGACAGGAAAGAGAAGGAACATTGGGGCTCCATCTGTCTGGGTTCAGCTGGTCCCCAAGTCACAGAGTAAGGGGCACGCCCCTGCCACTCCCCACCTCTGCCCCAAACCCCAACAGGGGCAGTCCTTTGTTTTTCATTAACAGGCCATGCAAGTTCCACGGGGTCGATGTTGTCCCACAAAAAGACATTTTGTGCAGTGACCACGGTCCAGGCTTGTTGTGCTCTGGCCTTTCCAGATAGAGGAGCCATTTGCACTAACGGGATATTGTTTCAAAGTACCAGAGGCTGCCCATGTCACCATTTTTCTTTTCTTTCTCTAACGAAAGAGATGCAGATCCTCACAAGTGGCAGACAGAAACATCCGTCAGACAACCCATGGGATGGCCACTTTCAGTCCCACCTGACAACAAGGTCACTGGCATGCAGAGGGGGGGACAGGCCACTGCTAGGATGCCCACAACCCCTCCCAGTGTGGCCCTCCCCTTGAGTAGCCTGGACCAGTGGGGTCTGGCAGAAGTGAAGAAACACTGCTCTCATGTTAGGTAGCAAGGGAACATTCGAGCTCTCGCTGACCACCAGCCACAGGTTGTGAGGAAGCAGCAGACTGTGGAAAGGCTGCGTGGAGGGAGTTGAGGCCTCCTGGAGTGGGCCTGGAGAGGACCCACCCACCAGGCCTTTAGGTGAGATGGCGGCCTCGAGACACTGCCCGAGCCTGAGGCGCCTGGAGGCCTAAGCTGAAGAAACCACAAGATAATGAATGTACACTGCTGTCAGTGCTCATTTTGGGGTAACCTATTATTATTATTATTATTTTGGTCGGAAAGGGGATCGTAACCCCTGGCTCGCTGCTGTCTGCACCATGCTCAGCCAGTGAGTGCACCAGCCATCCCTATATAGGATCTGAACCCGTGGCCTTGGTGCTACCAGCACCGCACTCTCCTGAGTGAGCCACGGGGCCGGCCCTGGGGTAACCTATTATTAGCAATAAATAACTAGCACAGAGGAGTGAAGTGACATGCTCAGTGGCCTAGCAGATGCTCCACCCTCTCCCCCAAGTGACATAACTCACACATTAGCACTGACAACAAGACCCCGCCCTCTCCCCACTCAGCTGCAAGGCCCACGCTGGCTGGCCCTGGCTGCACATGGGTGCCACCTGGTGGCCGAGGTCCCTCAGGCTCCACTAGGACAAGGCCCTGCATAGTGGGTGCAGGCAGGGCCATGGCAGGACCCTGGGATGGCCCAGCTAACCAGAACCTCTCTCTTGAATGGGCTGGGAGCCTGGGTAAGGGGACGGTGGGGCAGAGAAGACTCTGCCTCGAGCCCAGCTTCCCTCTCCTACCCCCAGAAGGCAGCCCCCAGGCGGGTAGGCCCAGGACAACCTGTAACACTACCATCTCCAGAACCCCGTGGCCATAGGGCCTAGGGGTGGACAAGGTCAGGCAGTACCCTTTGGGGGGGAGCCAGGGTCCTGGGACAGGGAGGGTTATGAGGCCCTGGAGGAGCAGGAGGGGACCCAGTGTTGCAGCCCTATGGCAGCATGGGGTCGAGGGGCTGCCCTGCTTGTGAGAAGTCAAAGCCGCATCTTCACCTTGCCCCAAGAACAGACAGAGAGTGCGGGGGCTCAGCTCACCACGTCCTTCCGTGTGGCGCTGAGTTCTGACATCACCTCGCTCAGCTTCATGGTATACTGCTGCTGTTGCTCAGCCAGGTGACTTTGCAAAGACTTATTTTCAAGAGTCAGGCACCTCATTTCTTCGTTCACAGTTGCTGAACTGTCCTGAGTTGCTGTAAATTCTTGAATAGATGACAAAATGTGTCTTGCTTGAGCTAGGAGTAAAAATCAAGCATTATTACAGCATTTACATTTAAAGATGAAATAAAAACAAATATGTCCAATACATTTTGAATAACACAGATTACATGCCTCAAAAAGACTGATGGGGGCCGGCCCGGTGGCACACTGGAGAGTGCGCCGCTTGGGAGCGCAGTGGCACTCCCGCCGAGGGTTCAGATCCCATGTGGAGACCGGTTCCCGCTCACTGGCTAGGCACGCAGTGGCGCTCCCGCCGAGGGTTCAGATCCCATGTGGAGACCGGTTCCCGCTCACTGGCTAGGCACGGTGCGGGCGCGACACCGAGGGTTGCGATCCCATTACCGGTCAGTAAAAAAGACAAAAAGGAAAAAAAAAACAAAACACTGATGGGCATGGGAAGGGATGGGGGGGCATTGCACCACTGACCACCTGGCGCTGGTTTCTCTGCATCAGTCATGAGCGGAGTGGAAAAGAAGAGATAGTTTTTATTCTAGAAAGAAGGTGGCCCGCCAAGGAAGGCTGCACATCTGATGGCCACGTTGGGAGTGGCTTGGCTGATGCCGAGCAGCTCCTCCTGTTGACTGTGCCTGGCCTGGGGCCTGCCATGCTTATAGCAGACTGGCAGCTCTGGGCCTGGGACAGCTCAGGAAGCCCCTCAAGATGCAGCCCTTAACAAGAGGGTCAGGATTGGAGTGGGGGGGTTGCAGCTCCAGAAGGAGGTGCTGAGGGGCCACAACACTAAGGAGCATCAGAAGCCTGGCACAGCTAAAGGACAGCTCAGGGTGGTGTCCAGGACCTGCTAGGGAGGAGCGAGCTGGTGAGTCCCAACTCCCTCAGGGATACTAACAGCCACACCCCAGGCTGCAGAGAAATAGAATGTGACTGTCTGGGGACGCAGCATCTCCTGGTCTCAAAGTGTGACCTTGGATGAAGGAGACCTGCTCTCGAACCCAGTCAGCTGGTGGGAATAAACAGGTTAACCCAAGTCCTCTGTAGGGGAGGGACCAGCCTTCTGGACCCCAAGTCATTTCCACTGAAAGCTCTGCAAATCCAGGGTCCTGCACATAGTTCAAAAGTTCACAGAGGATAAGAGACAATGGCAGCAGCTTCTGAAGTTCTCAAAATCACCACATGAAAACAGAACACTTAGAACCTGTGCACAGCACCTCTAGCAAAATGAGATGACATGGTACCTCTGTGAAGCCCAGAATGCCAGCAGGCAGAACCCACACCACAGGCCTGTGAGGTGCCCCCCGAGAGCCCCAGCTGCTGTGAGGGGAAGACCATCAGGGAGGGCCCAAGTAAGGGGCCACCTCACACTCATATCGGGGAATGCCACACACCTAATGCTAGGACAACTTGCACGATGCCCAGGACCGAGGACCCAGAACCCAGCGGTTCAGTGCACCCCTGCACTCCTGACTCACCGAGGAACACATCGTTGTCATGCAGGGACTTGCAACCACTCCAGTACCTGTCCACCAGGTCCAGCAGTGCCTCCAGGAGCACCACCTCCTGGGCGGCCTTCTTCCCAGGCAGGGCTGCAGAGTGTGATTTGGGAGATAGCTGTGATGGAAACAAAATCGTGAAACTGGCTTTCAATGCACAAAACCAGTCGGTTGCTTTGTAAAACAAGGTTTCTAATACCAGCCACACACTTGCCCCAAATGCACCACGCTGAGAGGGGGACCAGGCACTGTGAAGTCACAGCCCTGAGCTGAGCCCCACTCTCACTGCGGGGTCTATGCCAGGTGATGCTGGTCCTCAGACAAGGGAGGTCTGGATGACCACAGGATGGGCCCCACTCAAGCCCAGGCCCCATGCTGTGCCTTCCTCCCTGCCTTCCCTGCAGACAAAGAGATGGAAGATGCACAGGGATGACAGCCAACCATGTCTCAGGACACAGGGTGGCCTGGCAGTCCACTGGCTCTCTACAGTCAGCCTTCAGATATCAGCCAGTAATTCCCAGCAATAGTCTGGGAAGCCTGACAACAGCCTGTGACAGTGGGGCCCCACACAGCCAGGACCTGATCAATAACCGCCAGCTTCCCTCACTCCTGTCGCACTTCCAGCTCGGGACCAACCCGAAAAAGTCAAACATGCCCCCATCAGCCACACAGGAGGTCCCGCCTCAAGCAAGAGCCTCCAGCTCCACAGGCCAATGGCCCCCTCAGGGCTCACCTGAGCCGTCCCCTCAGTCCACTTGTGAAGCATCCCGGTCCTCCACCTGCCATGTGTCTGCTAAACTCAGGGACAGCTGCCAACCTCCTTGCTCTAGCAAGTCTAAGCAGCAGCCTTTGCCCGTCCAAATCTGGCTGGTCTTCATTTATGTCCACAACAGCTATGTCTCAAAGTCTCCAACCTGGCCAGCTGTCAGAGGCAATAAGGAGTCCACTATGTGGCCTCTAGCTCACTCTGAGGGTGGGAGAAATCACCACCCCTAATCAGGAGGAGTCCTGTGGAAAACCATGGAATGAACTTCCAGGATTCTCCCCTCATGACAGGGCCATCGATGGCTCCTGCTGGACAACTTGCGGACCCCAGGCTGAAGACACCAGCCCTTGCAGGTACATCTGACACCATCACCTCCCTCTGCTACAGTGCTCCCATCACAAAACACTCAACACCACGGAGGAAATGGTGTCCAGCATGGAAGCAAACCCCTAACAAAACAGAGAGGTAACAGACACTAGGGAGAAGTAAGTTTAGAAGCTACAGTTAGTATTGAAAATGTAAAATATGGCATTACCAGAGCATAGCAATTGCTCAACTTTACATCCAATCACAGATAGTAAGAAGCATGACCAGTCTGCCGCCATCTGCAGCTCTTTAGCTCACCTCTCTGGTGCTGTTCATGCTGTGAGACCTCTGTTCTTCAGCAGCAGATGTCTCAGAGCGAGAAAAGGTCCTCTCACTCCTGCCTTCTGAGACACTCTGTCTGCTCAGACTCTCCTCAGGGCTGGAGGGCCCATTCGTCCTCTCTAAGCAGCTCAGACATTCCTGGTCCGAAGGTGCCTGGAATCTTCCACCTGGAACCCTCTGCTTCCTGTACTTTTCAGGAACAGGCAAAGGATTTAATGTTTTTTGTGTTGACAAACTCGACTTCGGAGAAGAAGAAGCTGTCGAGTCCTCAATATCCATGGAGTCTGTGATTCCTGTACTTTTCAGGAACAGGCAAAGGATTTAATGTTTTTTGTGTTGACAAACTCGACTTCTGAGAAGAAGAAGCTGTCGAGTCCTCAATATCCATGGAGTCTGTGATAGAAAGAGAAAACAGAGCCCTCAATGCACCAAACTCCGAGGCTCAGTGGCCAGTGTTAGTTTTAAAAAGGCATGTGTGTGCATGCAAGCACAGGCATGTGCGTGTGTGTGTGCACACATACACGTACAGGTATGCACAGGTGCACATGCACGCACATACATGCGTACATGCATCTGTACACCTACACAAGCACAGACACGCACACAGAGGGAGAGGATGAGGGAGGGAGAGGGGACAGGGTGCCAGGTCTGCTCATGCTGGGAGGTTTTCCAATTCTTTCTCCACACAGCTGCATATGACACTCTCAGTTAACTTACTCAATTTTCCTCATCTCCGATTTTGAGAATGTAGCTACTCTCATAACCTGGGCTCACATACTTAGAAGAAAATGTGAATGTGTGTGCGCACACATGTCTGCACGTGTGTCAACGCACATATGCAGATAAAACGCACCTAAGGATTTATAGACAGGATTCTAAATGTGGATGGATTATAAATTTCAATGTGTTAAATTCTTTCTTAGTCATTTTAGAGAGTTCCACAAACAAAATAAGTATAACAAGAACAGGATAAATTTCATAGCAATAGCAAACATTGTGAAAAATATTTAACTGCTTCAAAAGGTACTGATGGGGGTTGCGTGTGATTACCTGGGTGAGGGGTGAAGTAAGCGTGGGGCCCATATGAGTGGTAGGCCTCAGGCTCCTCCCCACAGTAATGGTTCTGAAGTTGCTTCTCTGGACAGCACCCCCTGGAGCTGCTTTTCCTTTTCTCATGGCCCCTCTTTATGGAGTCCCCACACTGGTGCTGCATGGACTGAGGACTCAACAGATGTCTGGATTCTATTTTATTAAAAACATTTAAAAGGTTTTATTTCATTGAAAATCACATTGTAAGCTTCTGATAGTGCATGATATCTATAAAGTATATTTTCCTTAAATGATTAAATGAGAATAAACAACTGAGTGGGTTAATAATGCAACAGCCAACATCATGGTGAGTTCATGGTAATCATTCCACTCAGCTCTACAGATGGACAGAAGAACAGAGTGGACACTGACTTTACCCGACACCAGGACTCACGATGAAGAACAGTGACCCTGACAGCATGGCTGCAGTGCAAAGACAGACCCAGAGGTACAGTCAGGTCAACTGATAGTCAACAAATATGCCAAAGTAATCAAATGAAGAAAAAGAGTCTTTCAACAAATGGCATTACAACAACTGGATATATGTGGGGAAGGGAATCTTGACCCATTAATGCACACCATACACAAAAACTAACTAAAAAAGTGGATTGGACACCTAGACACTGAAACTGTAAGGTATCTACAGGAAAACATAGAAAAAAATCTTCATGAGCATGGGGTGGATGAAGATTTCTTTATAGGACACAAAAGCACAAACCAATGAAGAAAAAAATTGATAAAGCAGATTTCACTGAAATTAAAACTTCTGCCCTTTGAAGCACTGTTAAAAATACAAAAGGCAAGACGCAGAATGGGAGACGCAGAATGGGAGAAAATCTGCAGTACTTCTGTCTGAGAAAGTGCTTGTATTCAAAAACCCTTAAGAACTCTTACAACTCAATACCAAGAAAAGAAACAACCCCATTAATTAGGGGGTGCACAGACTTGACCAGAAGCAGCACAAGAGAAGATAAATGTGAACTAAAACCACAACAAAGTGCTGCGACACACCCACAAGAGGAGCTGGAGTTGAAAGGACCAACGATGCGAGTGTGTGAGTGTGCGAGCGTGAGTGTGCGAGCGTGAGTGTGCGAGCGTGTGAGGCTAGTGCAGGCACCATTGCCACAGGGCAGAGGTCCTGGAGCCAGCAGGTGAATCTGGGATCTCAGCCCAAACCTTTATCTCAACCTGCTGCTGTTTTCATAAAAAACTCAGAAACTCATAACGGGAATGAGCAAATGAAGCTAAAGCCTATATATGCGTCCTGGTGAGGAACAGAGTCCCTGAGCAAAGCTCGGGAAGAAACTCAGGCCCTGAATGAAAAGTCTTCATGACGTCCTTGTTGGGGTGCACAAGGTCTACACTTGGCAGCTTGGGCTCAGTGTTTCTAAAAAGCTAAGTGAATGAATATCCCCCTCACAGCTGACGTGGACATCAGTCCTGCTAGCTGGGGACATGTGACCTTGAGGAAGAATACAATTTAGGGCCGGCCCGTGGCTCACTCGGGAGAGTGTGGTGCTGATAACACCAAGGCCCCGGGTTCGGATCCCATATAGGGATGGCCGGTTAACTCACTGCGGAGAGCATGGTGCTGACAACACCAAGTCAAGGGTTAAGATCCCCTTACTGGTCATTTTTTAAAAAAAAAAAAAAAAAAAAACAATTTACACAACCATGTGGTATGGCTATACTCAACTTAAACACAGTACTTTTTCCTTTCATAATTCTATTGGCATTCCAAAGTATGTAAACATGTCAGAAGACAGTACTCCTCAAAGCAAGACGTGCACAAACCACAGTGTGCATGCAGAAGTCAGTGATCCTAATACCCCAGACCAACTGGACCCACTGGGCCTTCTCTGATGGGAAGCACACCTTGGGAACTGTGGAAGTTGGCCTCGTGATCCTTCTGGCTGGAGCTTGTGCTCCCAGGAGGATTGCTTAAGTCCCACTCACACTCGGCAATGAGGTTCAGGACCGCCTCGTCGTCCGCGTCCATGACCAGGCACTTCGCTGAGGCATCAGTGTGCCCGGCTCTGGAGTGGCTAGGTCTGCAAGGTAAAGTGCTCTCATCAGGCTCACACTCAAGCCAGTGCTGTGCTGTGCTCCAGCCACACCGGCCCAACCAGTGGAAGACTGCTGGGGCTCTGGGGAGAAGGGCGGGTGCAATCATAGCACAATATATCTTTTTACTTCTGCTACAGCGACATGGGAGAGGGACTTGACCAGCACAACTGGCGATCAACTGCAAGATCATGTGACTCCATCACACCATCCTAGCATATAGAGATCCCCGATTGGTTCAAAAATGAAAGTTCTGAAAATTCCTCTGTTCTGCAATCTTCTAGCAGGTTAAAATTCAACATACTCTTTTCCCAGTAAACCCACAATGAGATACACATGATTGAGAAAGTGAAGGGATATTGTGTTCCAAATGCCTATCTTTACATTAAGGGAAAGTATGTTCACATTGACTGAAACAAGAGGCATGTTAGGATATGACACACCATGAAATGGTGGCCCTCTGTAGCAAGGGGAATGCACTCAGAGGTGACCTCATGTCCACAAAGGCAGTTTAAGAAATCACTCTTCAAAATAAACTCAGCGGCATATGCTGTGAACACTGCTTTATGAGGCAGTTCATACGTAGGGCACCTGCCTGACTTTGAGAGGCCAGTCACATCCAGAGTACTGCCCAGAAGGGGACATGGCTTCTGGTTCTGTGTCTGGCCTCTGAGCACAGTTCAGTCTCTTGGGTGTCCACTGCCACCTCTGGATGGTAAGATCATCTATGAGGTCCTTCAACTCTATGTCTGTGATAATTCAGTTTTGCAATTATCAAGGACAGATATTGCTGATCTCAAATGAGAATATCCTCAGTTAAAGCTTTTATGCAACACAATGATTATGAATGCTCACAAAGATAACTCTGAGGGTATCTTAATCATTGAAACTCAAGTATTCATGTCATGTTGACATTAAGTATACTCTATTCTGATTGTCTGGGTATTAAAAATCATGTATAATATGAATTTTACATAAAGTAGCACTCCATGTGCTTGTATATGTACTAAAGGAAGTGTGGAAGAATACACGCCCAAGTATATTGCTGCCGGTCATGGTTACACTGGAGAGCGAACAGGGGAGGAAGAGACTTTTGTTCACTTTCTTTTTATCAATTTCTATGTTTGCAACATTTACAACAATAAAATTTTACTGTAAAGTTTTTAAATAACTGAATCTAAAAAAACCCAATAAGATATTAATAAGATGCCTGCTGACTAGAATACATCATTCCTAACCATGCTGAATTAAAATGCTTATTTTATTTCCCATATGTTATGAAACATCTCAGTAAGTCTGAACATTGAAAATGTATTTGGAGTGACATCAGCAAAAATGTCAAAGAAAGGAACTATGAGTCCTGCCCCTCCATAAAGGCAACTTTAAAAATGAAGGGAAAAAATGCCAGAATCATTTTCTGGATCTCTGGAAATCTGCCAGACTAACAGCAATCCAGGTAGTAGCTGACCAAGGAAAGCAGCTGACGCCCACTAAGGACAGTGGCTCTGTGACACTTTAACCTGCCCAGTCCCATGGTGGGCTCTCTAGTTGAGCAGCAGTCATGAAAGTGACAGCCTGCATTTGAGGGCACTCCTTTTGTCATTGTTTGTTCTGATGTGTCCCTGGAGGACCAGCTCAAAAGCTTGTCATTATTTCACCTAATTCACAACTAGCCTGGTTCTAAAGGTGCTCGGGGGGCTGAGGGGCATTTGTTGGTTCCAGGCTGATGTTCTGTTGCTGCTGCTGCAGAGGTAATAAGAGGTGATAAGATGTGCTGAGGCTATGGATGGCAACTGGAGTAAACAACAGCAAAAAGGATGGGAGAAAAGGTGAGGGAAGGAGACAGCCGAAGGGCTTTGAAGAGCTCCAGCGCACTCCTGGGAGCCCAGACACCACCGTGCGCAGGATCGGCACAGACCTGAGGAGGCCCTACACTTTCCTCACCTGCTGCTGACCCTGAGAATCCTCGGAAGCAGGAAGTGAAGGCTAAGCAGAGCTGTGCCCTCCTGGCTGAGTGCCAGAGGTGTGCCACAAAACACATAGGGCCCCAGCCCCCGTCCCACCCCACAAAGTCTGGCTGATTTTTTGATCCTGATATGTAAGGAAATCTCTGTCCAATCATTATCTGACCATAAGCAATAAAACTGAGATTTCACAGGTCACAGGCAACAAAGAATACAATACAGACTTTACAGAACTGGCTCAGAAAAGTCACCAAACAAACAATGACAACTACAACAAGCAAGAATAACAACTAATCCTAGGAACAAAGAGAATCTGATTTCCAGAGTTGCCACATTATAATATGCAAAATGTCCATTTACTGACAAAAAGTAAAAGGAATGCAAAGAAGCAAGAAGGTATGGGCCATACACAGGGGGAAAAAAAAGAAATCAACAGAAACTGTGCCTGAGGAGGTTCAGATGTTAGACTTCATAGACAAAGAATTTAAATTTTAAAAACATTCAATGAACTAGAAACATTCAAAAGAACTACAAGAAAATATGAGTACAGTGGCTCAGAAAATAGAAAATATCAATAATGAGACTGAAAGTATAATCAAGTAGAACTAAAATGAAAAATTCAGTAGAAGTGCTCAATAAAAGATTTGAACAGGCAGAAGAGTCAGTGATCTTGAAAATAGGTCAACTGAGATTTCCCACTCTAAGAAACATAAAGAAAACAATGAAGAAAAATGAACAGTTTCAAAGACTTTATTTAGGATACCATCAAGCAGACAAAAATACATATAATGGGAGTCTCAGAAGGAGAGGTGAGGAAAAAGGGTTAGGGTTAGGATGACTAAAAACATCCCAAACTTGATGAAAAACATTGGCCTACTGAGATTTTGTGAAATATATATTTGGTCTTCCTTCCTCATGACATACAGTGACTAAAACCCTTAGAGTCTCTGGAGTGATAGTGTCTTTTGTACCTGGATACTTCAAAGAAAGATTTGTATTATCTTTTAATTCTATTTTTTCATGAACTTTTGAAGTACCCTCATGTGCTAATGAGATGACTGATGCCCTGTGCTGGTCACCAGAAAGACCAAGTGGGTTAGAGGGGTGTCACTTTCAGCGCCACCCCCAACCTCCAGGGACGGAAGAGGGGCTGAAGGTTGAATTGATTACCAATGGTCAATAATGTAATCAATCATGCCTACGCAATGAAGTCACCATAAAAATGCAGAAGAACTGGGTTCAGAAGCCTTCCAGACAGCCAAACACGTGGAGGTTCCCAGAGGTTGGCATGCCCACAGAGGGCATGGAAGCTCTGCACCCCTTCCCACATACCTTGCCCTATGTATCTATTCCATATGGCTGTACATAATAAATGGGTAAACATAAGTAGTGTTTCCCTGAGTTCTGTGAACTGTTCTAGCAAATTAATCAAAACTAGGGAGGAGGTTGTAGGAACCCTGATTTATAACCAGTTGATTAGAAACACAGGTGACAACCTACTAATTGCAACTGGCATCTGAAGCGGGGGGGGGGAGTCTTATAGGACTGAGCCCCCAACCTGTGGGATCTGAGATGCTATCTCCAAGTAGATAGTTTCAGAATTGAATTGAATTAAAAGACACCCAGCTGGTATCTGCTGCAGAATTGCTTGGTGTGTGGGGAACCCCCCCACAACATCTGGTCACAGTAGTATTCTGTGTTGTATCAAGTATGTGATCAGAGAGCAGGAAACACACTTCACTTTGGTTTTTCCTATCCTAAAGATCTACATCCAAGGAGCTCAATTCCAAGTGAGATAAAATCAAAGAGATCCATACCAACACATCATTACTGAACTGTCAAAAGACAAAGAGGAAATCTTGAAAGCAGCAAGAGAAGTAACCCATCATGTACAAGGATCCTCCATGAGGTTAACAAGCTGATGTCTCATCCAAAACCACAGAGGCCAGAAGACAGTGGACAGCACATTCAAAGTGCTAAAAGAAAACACTGTCAACCAAGAATTCTATATCCAGCAAAACCGTCCTTCAGAAATGAAGGAGTTCAGTTGCTGCTGAGTTAGAAAAATAAATAAAGGAGAAACAAAGACATTCCTAGACAAACAGAAACCATTTGTTGCTAGCCAACTTGCCCTACAAGTGCTAACGGGGAGTTCTTCCGGCCAAAATGAAAGCACATTAGGCAGTAACTCAACTCTACATGAAGGAATAAAAACACTAGGAAAGGTAATTACAGAGATAAATATAAAAGATACTATAAATGTGTTTTCATTTGTAACTCCTTTTTTAATCAGAAAAGATAACTGTGTGAAATAACAGTTATAAATACAAGTTGATGAGCTCATCATATATAACATAATAATGCAATCTATGACAATACAGCATGAAGGAAGAGGGAACAGAAAAATATAAGACCAAAGTTTTTGTATACTATTGATATTAAGTTGGTAGTAATCTGAGCCAGATATTTATAAATTAAGATTTAATTGTAATCCCTAGGGTAACCATTAAGAAAATAACCCTCCCAAAATTGGGATACAATAAGAAATATATACTTGGTTTTTGCCCCTGGTACCTGACACAGAACTTCTCAAGCCCTTAGAATTTCCTGTGTGACAGAGGTGATAGGAGCACCTTTGTCAATAATAAATCCCCGTCAACCACACCCAAGCTTATGCTAATGAGATTACTCTAGATCGGCCTGTGACAGCTTCAGGACAGGTGCTGGTGGTCAGGGGAACCAGCCACATGATTAGAGGGTTGAAACTTTCAACCCCACCCATGAACCTCAAGGGAAGAGGGGGGTTGGAGATTAAGGTCAATCACCAATGGCCTTCATCAACCATACCCAAAAAATGGAACCTCCACTAAATACTAAACAATCAGGTTTGGAGAGCTTCAGAGTTGGTGAACACATCCATGTGCCAGGAGGGTGCGCACCCCAAGTCCATGGAGACAAAATCTGTGCTTGGGACCCTTCCAGACCTTGCCCTGCACCTTTTCCTCTGGCCATTTGTGTGTAAC